CATAATCGTTCTCTTAGATTTTTGAAGCTTTCGGCTTGTCAATCGAACGCTATAATTTCTATAATCGATCATTACTTTGATTTAATCAACAAAACAAGATCAAGATACAATATTTTCATGTAAATGCATTCAAAACCGTTAATAATGGCAAATCGCAATTGTTGTTTTTGACGGCGATTTCCTTGGCGGTATACATTTATACTTTCACATATAATAGATAGTTCGACATGAGTCAATGCTTCGACGGTAGAATATTATTAGATTTTAAAACTGAGGCCTAATGAGAGACTAATAGAAGCAAGTAATTATTTTGCAAAATTGCGCCAAAAAAATAGTTGTGAAGAGCAATCAGAACTTAACAGTTCTACGAGCTTCTGCTGCTTTCTAGAAGGCTACCCTAGGACTAGAAGACTACCCTCAAATTCTATTTGTTATTATTGTTAAAATTTCTCTCATACTGATGATACGTTTTTGATTTGATTCTCAAGGCCAATTTTTACTTAAATTATTCACTTAAAATTAAGATCTATATTTTAAATTCAAAATGGATATCATTACTGCTTGATATCACGCTGGCCGAGGAAGTATTAACCCCAAAAATTTGTGGATGCAAGGCTCTTACCGTTGTTTCCATTACAAAAATATGTTCTACTTACAAAAAAGTGTGGTCATTTTTATTTATTACAGATTATAGAACATATAAGAGTTCTGAATGCTGTTCAAACAATAAAAAAATAAAATAAAATTTTTATTTATTATGACTCATTTCAGTTCATAATAGTTTTGTGAGATGTTATAGTAAATTTTTGGTTATTAATCATTTTGGCACATTCACCAGATTACTACTTCTTTATCATTTTTTCTAATCTCTAATAAAATCACAATCCTTCTAAAAATAGTTCTACTTCTATTATTATTTTTGCAACATCTGACATCACCGAATCAATAAAATTCGAAGTTAAAGTGTTGAAAATGTGTGAGATGAAAAAACTTAAACTTTAAGAAACACAATGTATATGATAAATTAAATAATAATAAGCCAACCAAATAAAATATGAAATAATTAGCGAACAATAATGTGTTAAGACCTTGTCTAGACAGTTTGTTTTTAGTTAGAAATGAAGATTCATTATAGAACAGATAGGTACTCATAACATATTGATGATAATGTTGAAAAACTTACATGATGAGTCTTTCTACAATATTTTTTGCTATATTCCTTTAATTCTAGGTTTAATGTTGTGTTAGTACTAACAATAATAAGTTTTTACCCACTCTTTAAAATAATAATAATTTGTTATTATTTTCATCCTTTCCACTCGGATGCCGCCGAGATAATTTATATAAAAATCTGGAAATTCGTGAGTGCAAAGGGTTAAATTCAAATAAATTTAATATCCTATTAGAGGTTTATTATCCTAAGTAAAAATTTGATATCACTACAGCTTGATATCAAGCTGACCGATGTAAATATTGCTTCATAACATGCAAAGACCTTCAAAACTTAACAAGTAACAATAAACAAATGCTACCTTAAAATGAAAATACTGACAAATGATTTGAAACGGTGTTTATATAAACAAAATTGTTCAAGGTTTTAAAAATATTTGCATGCATATTTGCACTTCAAATAAGGAAGTACTAATATGTGTGCAATATTTGAAATCTAGTATTCTAATTGTGCATATATTTGAACAAAACTTTCTCCTTTTCATAAATTAATATATATACGTAATTAATTACGGTTATAAATCAATTACGAAAAGATTTCGCAGCTTAATCATTGAACATGCAATGTTGGCCATTAATAATTTTTTTTATAAAAATCATCCAGATATCCTTTTCAATATCCAGTACAACCATATTCGAAATTCAAAATTTAGTTTGATAACTTTTTAATAATGTTAAATGTTAGTTGTTAAGCAAGAAGTGCAAATGAAAGAACTGCAGGCAACTCAAGATTCAGAGTTCAAATCTGGCATTGGGTGCAACCTGGTATCAAGCAAAAGTAATATTTGTTTTCATTTTAAAATATAGATCAAAATCCTGTTTCTAAGAGAAAATAGCTTCCAGGCATTGATACACGAATTTAATATAAAGGGTGTCCCAGACCTTAACGGTAAGCCGAAATGGGGCGATAGTATTAACTTAACTGTTATGAAAAAAAAAAAAAATTAGAAAAATAAATAGAGAAAAAATTTCACATTGTTTCATTGAACTGTAAAATAGTAAGATGTTTGACATTTTCATTATTGAAAAATTTTGAGTAAAAAACTAAAAACCTAAAAATGACATGATTTTTCATGAGCTGTGATGGTACTTTTCCTTAACATAGATGGAGGATTTTCGACCCTTTAAAAATATCAGATCAATCTGAACAAACTTGTATATTTCACATCATTCAGGTATTTACTACTTTTCTATCTGCAAATGTTAATTAAAAAACAATCTCTTACAAATATTTCTTCCAGAGCGTATCGCAAAAATAACGGCTCCGACGGCTTAAATATCATTCAAAGCGTAAAAGTGCAAAATCAGAGAGGACGTCGAGGAACACACAAAAACCGCTACTTTAGAAACTAATTTATGAATGTAAACAATTTCTTATGTAGGTGATATGCTTCACTTACAATACAATACGAGTAATAATACTAATGATAGTTGTCTTTTTCCATCGATTACCTGTCAGAAACAATAACAGGTGAAATAGATTTGTAATGACCAAGCACTCGATACCACCTGGTAATTAATAATTATTTATTTGTAATAACTACACGTGGTACGACTTGATAATCTATAATTCGAAAGTAATATTATGTTGTTGGACAAGTTGTAAAATTATATTATTGTGGATTAATTAACTTCCCGTAGGGTAAGTTATAGTAATCGCAAAAAAATCGAAAATGAAAATTTTTATATATCTTTACGTTTCACTTGTATTGACAAGATGAAAAATCGATGAAATTTTCATGAAGGTAGGTCTAGCGGTTTCGGAGATATGGAGGAAAAAGTAAAAAAATGAGCCATTTGGCGGTCAAAAATGATCATTAGACATATGCACATCAAATTATCAGATATTTTATAGAGATTTTAACAATAAGTATACATTTTGTCAACATTCCTATGGGTTCCGTACCAATGCTTATGCGTTAGACAGCGACGCGGCGCTTACGCGCTTTTATATTTTGTGCCTATGCAGTTAAAGCAGTACGATTGCTTTGAAAAAAAGTTCAGATCTTCCACAATATGTCAAAATAAATAATTTTTTTTTTTTTCAAAAAAAAAAAATTAAAAAAATTTTTTTTTTTTAAAAAATTTTTTTTTTCAAAAAAAAGTTATTTTTTGTCCAATTTATAGTTTCCCAAAAATCTTATTTTTTCAAAGTAATTTTTTTTTCAAAAATGTTAATCGTTTTTAAAAAAATTATAATTTTTGGTACGGGAAGTTCCAGCAATTTGCCTTAAGGCACGATGCCTTAATTGCCTTAAGACAGAATTCCACTTACAGCTAGTTTTAACAAATAATAATAATGATAACGTGCCACTTGACATACAGATCATATATGTTCTATATGTATGACATGAGGTCAAAAGAACTCTTGTCTTGAAATAAATTGTTGTTAAAAATGATTTAAAACACAATCTGTTATTACGAATTACATTTGCAGATGACTAATTTATAGGTCTAATCCCCTTAATTGGAGACTGAAAATACAAAATGTATTTTTTACTAGACGGGGCGGTTTTTAAGGGATGCACAAATAACTATTATAGTGGCGCCGAGAAGATCAGGCGCCAGAAAATCTTAAGGACGCTCGAGTGGCCAAAAAAGATTTCTGGTTTTGATCATTTTTGGATAAAAAAATTCTTCTAAAGTAATCTATTAAATAAGGAAGAAATACAACTTTGTATATTATTGATTTAAAAATAGTTCAAAAATATTTAGTAAAATTAATATGCACAAAACATTTTATTAACAAGTTTAGTAGAGGGTTTTTGTTCAATTACATCAAATTACTCAATAATTTGGTATTAAATAAATAGATTTAGCCATATAACTCATAAAGTCTGTAAACAACTCTGATTTTTATATAATATGGAAGGATTAAAATAAAAAAAATAGACCGTTTTAAATTTGTCTTTTTTTTTAAATATAGTTCGAAAGTATTACCAAAGCATAGTATACTTCATATATATTTATAATAACAATTATATAATTTACCATTACTTTAATTACCTACCATGATCTTGAGTTTTATATACATACTAGCTTTTCATCATCCTTAAATTCAACTTTGTAAAAAGAAGTTTTTTATAATATAGCAAAATTCACTAAAATTTCTGATCAATAAAAAGAAGTACAGTTAGAAAAAATCAATAAAATCAAATTTTTCAAAAAATTTTGCTCATTTAAATAATAATACCATATGAGAATGAACTATTTCCCTATTAATTTATTCATTAATCAGTGGACAATTTGTTTGATTATTTAAAACAATTTTTAACAAATAGTATCAAAGTTATCACAATACATACAAATAGTCAAAACTACCCTATAGAATAGAAATAATTGTAGTTTTTTTTTAATAAAAAATTAAAGATTTTAATTTAAAAAAAATGTGTTAGATTTTCATGTCCTTATACTATATTTCAATATAGTACTCAAGGCTCATGTCAATATTTTGCAGATTTAATTAAACAATATTAAATCTGCAAAATATTGTCTTGGGCCTTATTATAATATCATACCGACGGCTTATAAAATAAATAAATGAATAAATAAATAAATATATAGCAATTCGAAAAGAACGCTGATTTCAAAAAGGTTTCCGACATTAAATCTTACCGTTCATTAATTAGCAAAATAAACTAAAAACCGTTTACTTCATATTATGCAAATAGAAATGTATATCCACTACCTAGCTACGCTGATGGAATACATTTTTGCATTTAAAACCAAATAGTTATGGTTTTTGTTTAAAAATTTGATGGCAATCTTACCTTCAGATTTGTTATAAATCCTGCGCCACCAATAAAATATGTTCCTTTCAATAATCACTGTATAAAAGCACAAAACTTGCACAAAAATAATAAAACCACTATCCAAAATTATCTCTCCCAAATTCACTAAATTTACCACAAAGGATAACCGAACCGCACTGATAAAGTATCCTGTTGCACAAATGGTTGAATAAAATTTGGTCCAGATCCTGAGGTCACTTTTATCCTGTTTCTGCCATGATGGGGATAATATTATGATACAGTACTTTATTTTTTAATCCGGAAAGGACGAAAAATATAAAAAATTAATATAATTTGAAAAGAAACGAAAATACTAACCTAACGCAACGCGACGCAGTGAGTGACTGATTGTAAACTGAAATTATAACAAAGTGCAGCAACCTGTTGCTGGAAGGAGACGGCCTGGTCATTTCTCACTTCGACGATAACCAATGGTACAATGATAGAGCTGGACAGGGGAGAGGAACATTTTTTGGATTTTATCTTATTACCTATATCCACTTCACATTCATAGTTCTTACCGAAATATGTCTAATACAATTAATATCAGCGATGAAGAAATTGGGGAATGATATTGCAATACTTGAAGTTTACCTATACTAAAAACTAAACTAGTGGTGTATGGCATTGTGCTTTAAGACAAATTGCTGGAATTTCCCGTACCAAAAATTAAAATTTTTGAACCAGCTTCAATTTTTTTTGAAAAATTTGAAATTTTTTTCATATTTTGATATTTTTGGGAAAATTTATACTTTTTTCAAAGTAATCGTGCTGTGTGGCTTTTTTAGAAAAGAAATATCGAAGCGCTTAATTGTATGTTGATACCATATGGTTGTTTTAAAATCTACATAGGGTATTGACACCCTACCATATGTAGGTTTTGAGACAACTTTAGGATGTCAATATACAAGTATTTACAGACTTTAGAGCTGGGTATCTCGAAGTCCGAGATTATTACCTAATTTAAGCTTAAATTAGACCTAATTTAAGCTTAAATGACTAGACTAAAGCCAATTATTTAGGTTTGGGTTACTGTCATAAATAGAAATATTCTAATCTAATCCTAAGACAAGTACCAAAAACACTTGATTTCATTTCAAACCTATGAGGCAAATATGATGAAGAAATCAATATCATAATGAAAGAATCATCCTAATTACTTGATGCTTTTCGTTTTTTTTTCAAACCATAACCAACTCATTTATCCGAAATCAAATATGATGAAGAAATCAATATAAGAATAAAAAAATCATCCCAATTACTTGATGCTTTTCCTTGTTTTCAAAGCATTTCTAACTGTTTATCCGAAATCCAATATAATGAAGAAATCAATTTGAGAATAAAAGAATCATCCTAATTACTTGATACTATTTGTTTTTTTCGAACCATATCCAACTCATTTATCCGAAATCCAATATGATGAAGAAATCAATATGAGAATAAAAAACTATTCTAATTACTTGATCGATCATATGATTTTTTTTGAAATAGTCACAAAAAACATTATTTCATGTTTTGTTGCTGTTAGTAGTATTATTTTCAATATTAATATTTAATATTTTCATTATCTATAATTTAAATCTGAATTTTACTTAATATGGCAGCAATTTAATTTCATGTGTTAAAGTTGAAAAGTCTTAGTACTGCGTAACCTTTTAGAATAGATGTTAAATATTCATGTATTTTCAAAATTACTGATTTTTTGTATAACGACACATTGTAATTAATAAAAGAAATGAAAATTTAATATTTCATTAACTCATTATTATTGTTACTTGATTATTTTATATTATTTCATATGTTCTCATAAAACAAGTCACATAAAACAGTTTAAAAAACCTTCAAGTTTTAAAATTTTCATTTGGAATTCAATAATTATTTTTATTTGTGGCGTTATAGTAAGTAGAACTTAAACAGTAAATATATTTCTATCCAGATTCATGCCATTTAAGATGCAAATACCATATACAATTTCAAATTAAATTTAATTTTACATAAATATAAAATGATTTAGTTTAGATAGGTAGTTTGATTGTAAATATCTTTTGATCGGTTTTGGGTATATTTTGCCATTATTTGTAATACATAAAATTCGAGATATTGTATTATATGAGTATCAGTATCAATATAAAGTAAAAGTATTAGTTTCGAAGACATACCCTATCACAAAGGTTTTACTGGTCTGATTTCACTGTGCCTAAGAAGTATTAGTTAAAAAATCTGAACATATTCCGCGATAAGAATTAATCGAGTTAAAATTTTTAGTTTAGCTGTTGTAAAAAAAATATGATACTTTTTACCGTTCGGAAAATATTTGCTAAAGACAATTTGCAACTTTTCGTATATTTCAAATGTTATCTCAAAAACTATGAGAACTACGATCGAAATATTTTATAGCGGCATTCTAGCGTCATATCTATTTTCATAAAAATTTTCAATATTTAGGAATAAAAATATGTTACTACTATCTTCTTTCGTAATTATGTCATTTCACATCTAATTTTTCCATTTTCAGCGATCTCTCATAATCTTTAATAAGTTTTCAATCCCTGCCACAGATAGATTGTGGGAGAAAGCTTTCCCCACTCGGTCTTCTACAGGTAAGAAATGTTTTCATGTAATAGCCTGATACGCCGCTCAGGTATATTTATTGATAACACGGAATCTTTCTTGATGGGTGTCCGCAGGTGCTGCGCTATTGTTTTCAAACTACACACAATTATAAACAATATCATATTACATACTACACTTTTCCAGGTTCACATTATTAATTCTTTTATGATTTTATGCAAAAAAATTCATATGAT